TGCTCGCGTCTCCTGCGAGCCCTCCCGCGAGCCTTCCCGCTGCTCGCGCGTCCCTCGAGCCCTCCCGCCGCTCGCGCCTCCCGCGAGCCCTCTCGCCTCCTTCGAGCCCTCCCGCGAGCCTTCCCGCTGCTCGCGCCTCCCTCGAGGCCTCCCGCTGCTCGCGCCTTCCGCTCCCTTTCCCTTTCCCGCTGCCGCTGCCGCTGCCGCCGCTGCTGCCGCTGCTACTACTGCTGCCGCTACCGTCGCTGCTGCTGCCACCACTGCTGCCGCTGCTCGCCGCTGCTTCCTCGTTTCTCCGTTAGCAGGTTTATACTGTTAATGTGATTATATTTATTAATTATATTATATATTTTTATATTTTTATTTAAAATTTTAAATAATTATATTTATTAATTATATTTTATATTTTTATATTTTAGTGCCTCGCTTCGCTCGGGCGAGCGCCTGGGCGAGCGCCTAGCGCCTCGGGCGTTTTTGGACTTTGGCGCCTTTTGGCGCCTAGCGCTTTTTAAATCACTGCTTTTCACAAGCTCAGGAGAGAACCTTTACACCCATCTTTTATAAGTATTCTCTCGCACACCTCCCTTAAGACTATCTCTAAGCTCTAGGAGGAGGGACTCTATACTTAAAAGAGTTTACAACCCTGGAATCAGGGTTTTACAGTACTCGGTACACCTGGGTGTACCGCTCGGTATACCGTACCGTACCGGTACCGAGCCCAGGTCGAAATACCGGTACGGTACGGTATTGCGAACCTTGCCTGGAATCATAGAGTTTTTGTTTTACTTTCGTGTTCTAACCAAGCAGGAATTTGTGGGGTATTTATAGACCCAAAATGACTTAAAAAATTTGAGCCAAAATTCAAATCCCTGGGTTTTCGGGGTACTGACGGTACCACCGCCTGCCAGACTGACAACTAGTAGTACCACCGCTTGTCAGTCTGACAGTGGGCGGTACCACCGCTTGACACAGTCTGGGAGACTGTATCTGGGTGGTACTATCACCAGTCTGGGTGGTGCCATTGCTTGGGCCAACTAAGGGTCACTGAATGAGCCTTCTACTTGGTCCAAAACAGTCCCAACTCAGGTCCAATGGGCCTTTAATTGAGTTGGCCTAATTACATTCAAACAAACTCAATTACAACCTAGACAATCAAGACACAATTGATTACAAACATGAATCACATGTTGTTCGACATGTCATTGGTTTATCAGACCCTTTAGCGCTTCGTCCTCTCCTTCGGCATATTGTCCAATCGACATTTTGACCTCCGCAACATCCGATCTCCTTGGTGTAATTTCCGATCCTTCTAGCCCGATGCCTAAACTCATGGCACGAAGCTTTCTGCCGACACGTCGACCAGTCCTTCGACCCGATATCCAATCTTCTAACATATTCTATTCCGGCCTAACCTCTGATTCCACTGCTTTAATCGATTTATCTTTCTCTGATTGAAGCTAGTTCTGCATCACTTAAACGCACATTAGATCATAACTTTATCAATTGGTTTCATCATCAAAATTCGAGATTCAACAAATATATCGTCGGAAGAAAGCATGTGGCTTTGAACCATACACTTAATTTGGGAAAGAAACTTTAGTTCATTGGTGAAGTTTGAGATGTCAATATCAATCATTTGTTCCCATTTTACAAACCCCAAGTATAAGGAAAAAAGGAAAATACATTAAATTAATATATTAGAATTATATCAAGTCAATAAATCAACTTTTTTTCTTCTCAAATAATATTAATTTCCATACATGATTCAAATGATATTATTCTATTTTATAATGTTCTTGATTGTTACACTTTTGTCTCCAAAATGAATCTCAGATAAAATCTTCAATCAAGATCAATTTTTGGTTTCTTTTATTTTTGTGTATTTGCTTTTTCTTCCTTCCTTGAGTAGCTTAGGGAACTTAACTAAAATATTGAAGTATAGATGAGATGTGGCAACTTATGACAATTAAACATAGCACATAAACTAGTCAAATTTATTCAAATAAGATATAATTAAGATGGTCCTGTATCAGTCACTTTTACTACGTAAGAACTCATTTGGAGTTCAAATAATTAAAGTATAGATGAACCATGATAATAGAACATCTTGGTTAAACTAGAAGCTTTGATATCAAATCTAATATAGGACAAGCTCTAATACCTATAAAGGATGAGATGTCAACGAACCAAGGAAGGTTTTTTATGATAATAGAGAAAGTACTTCTGAGATAATAATAGAAAATAATAATAATACTCACTCTGATTGATGGAAAAAAATCACAAGATGAAGGATCCATTCTTCCATACTTCTCACGCATCCATGATGGAATCATACAATCAAAAGTATATGGCCTCACACCACTCACATATAATATGAGAAAAGAATTTTAATTGGTTGATCCATTCATTGATATCAATTATATTCCCTTGTCTCCATTTTATATGCCCCATTTATAAGAGAAAAAAGAAAAAAAATATATTAAATGAAAAATCATGGTTCGCCTCATTGGTATGTATTAGTGTATCAACCGACTATCAGTATGGTATGTACCGCCATACTGACACATAGTACGGTGGGGTGTATTGATAAACCAATATGCATTGCCCATACTAGTCTCATATCGGATTGGTATATATCGTTCATACCAAGAGGTACATTATGGTATGACGAACCTTATGGAAAAGTACAATTACATCATTGATTGTACTTTATGAAAATAATCAAAGAAGATTTTTTTACAAATATGATTTGGAGGATAATGTATTTATGATGAAATCATTAATTGGTAGGCTTGCATCTTTTAGAGAAGAATCTTTTTTGTACAGATGAAATCTTCAATCAAAATGAGTGTTTAATTTTTTTCATTTTTTCTCATTTTTTTTCTCCTCGAGTAATTTTGGAAACTTAACCAAAAAAATTGAAGACAACCTATGACAATTACAACTAATTAAATATATTTAAACACAAATAATAAATTAGGTGCTTTAGACAAAAAGAAAATGTTATAATTTGTTACTTTTTCATTAAAATGGGGCAGTCTATTGTGTGAGGCTTTTAAAAAGTGTAGGATATAGGAAGGGTCAATATATGCAATCTTATGCTTGCTGCAGATAAGTTGAATATATACATGACTTGAATATTGGTTTCTTGGTTACAAATGATTAACCTCATTAGACTTACTTGACTGCTTAGTCTTGCCCCCTTTATATTTAAATTTTATTGCCTGCATTATTTTTTAAATAATTGGTTAGAATTTTTGATCAAGTTAGAATTGTAAATCTTGTGTGATAAATTGAGTCAGTTTGAAATTACATATGAATCCAATGGTAACAAGCAATGATGTCCCGAATATTGAAGGTCAACGATATGGATTGTTTTGCCATTGAGATATGTGTAGGATGATATTCATAGTTAAATCATGATAAAATTTATGGTACTTTCAAGCAGGGTTTTCAATTTCGATGTGTACCACTCGGTGCGGGTGGTACGTACCTGTCCGAGAGGATACCAATACGTGAACCATCCTCTACCGGGCAGTACCAGTGTTTTGACCAGTACCAAGGCATACCGACTAGTACCGAGGCGTACCGATTGGTATCGCCTCGGATTTTGACCGTTACCGAGGCATACCGATCGGTACGCCCTAACGTGGTTGGTGAAGGTATTTTAAAGATTTTATGATGTACGATTGGTACGCCCTAGTGTATCGACGGTATATACCGATACGTATCGTACCGAGCTTACCGATATTCAAAACCATGTTTCCAAGCAAGGTTCGTCATACCATGGTGCATCGCTCGGTATGGATGGTATATACCGGTCCCGATAGGGAACCGGTATGGGTGGAACATACCGATTTGTTGGTATGCCTCACTATATTGTGTGTTGGTATGGTTTGGTACGTATTGTACTAATAGCTGGTCAGTAGACCGGTATGAATTGATAAGGCAAACCATGCTTCTGAGTGATCATCCATTCTACAAGATTAAATGTGATGACATGTTTCTGTACTCCTGTTGGCACATCCTTTTGGGTAGGTTCTGTAATCATGACAGATTTAGTGCAAACCTAAACAATTTGCATTAATACATGATGAATGTATAAATTTCTCTGAACACTTGTTGGCAAATCTTCTTGGTAGATTCTACAGTAATAGTGTAACGTGACTTAGGTCTTAAACTTAGATTTGTGGAATCCAAAGAATTTTCTGCCAATAAATAATCAATATATAACTCAACATGAAAAGGATGCTAGTTAGTTGGAAAATGAGGACCTTAAGGTGATCTTTAAGAAACAAGAGAAGGTAAGAGGACATTGACAGGGACACCAAAAATCTTCTTTTGTATGTCATATTTTTACTCACATATTTGCCTACTATTGTATGATTATGGAAAGTATTTATTAGTTTAATATCTGCAGACTTATGCAAGAGCCTTTCATGTCTGTGCCACTTATATGGATTGTTCATGAAGACATCCTTGGGAAACGTCTTTCACATTATGCAGAGTTGGGCTGGAAAGATCTTATTAACGAATGGAGAAATGCTTTTATTAGGGCTGATGCTGTTGTTTTTCCTGATTTCTCTCTTCCAGTAATAACCTTTCCTTTCAATTTCGATATAGAGACCATTTTGATTTTTTTTTTTTTGTGAATATCAATTTGTTATTTGATTGGCTTACTATATCTTTGTCAGATGCTGTACACCTTGCTAGATAATGGAAATTTTTTCGTGATTTCTGGATCTCCAGTAGATATATGGGCAACTAGTGCCTATATTGCAAGCCATTCCCGAAATCAACTGCGGGGAAATTATGGGTTTGCTGAAAATGACCGATTGATACTAGTTATTGGTAGCTACTTTTTCTATGGTGATCCACCATGGGATTACAGAGTGATGCATGCCTTGGCACCTCAAGTTAAAAGAATAAAGGGATTGATTGGAACAATAAAGTTTGTTTTCTTATGTGGGAACTCGACAGCTGCCTATAGCTCTACTTTCCAGGTATTGGTAAAATTCAATAGTATGTCATGTTTTCATTTGAATTAATAATCTGTAAAGTTAAATAGTAAATCTAGATATCTGTCGTGTACGGAAACTTAATTAAGTGCCAAATGCCAGAAATATCTTTGAAAGACCATGCTGATCAAATGTTGGTTGCTCAGAGTCATTCATGTTTGCTTTTGCTTTGAAAACATTATATTTATCATTCTCTAGTATATATACCTGAATTTTGGTCTAGTAATGTAGACATATCTGTCTGACCTATACACACCATAAGATAGAATGGTCTGCATGCATGGTACACATGATGGGGTCTACCTTGTTATTTGAGACAGATGTCATGTCTTGTGAATGTTATTTTAGCATATATACGGTGGAACTTGTATGCATTCGATGCCAATAAATTCCTTCTCAAGGAATCACATTGTGCCAGCTTCAGGTTGTCATGGTGCATGTCATCAGCATGCCTTACAGCATAGTCATGACGTCAACAGAAGAAAAACCAAAGAGAGAGAAGAGAGAGAGTGATAGAAATGTGAGGGGGGGTATTACATGTCTATTTAGGCTGATGGATGGAGTTTGCCAGTGGCTAGTAATCATTGGCTAATTATGAACAGCTAAGGCATGGATTATTGGTGTTGCTGGGTATTCATGTATAGAGGAAAGTCACTTGAGGAAAGTCAATTGACTAGCTCAAATTGAGCCCATTTGATTCCGCAAGACCTCAGGGCTAAGTGGTATGCTGGTAAAAGATGATTAAAAGTGCATTGCATGGTATGGGGTGATGTTTAGGAAAGGGCATTTCATGCTGAGTACACACTTATTATGCTACAAATTTAGCTAGCTCAACGATATATGTATCTCTAGATAGTTATTTAAAGATTTAAAATTGCCTTGTATTATTGATCAGCAGTTCTTTTTCTATCTTACTGTATCACTTCGAACAACAATTGGTTCTATTTAAATTTCTCACAAGACATGAGACAATTGTTTACATTTATAAGATTATCTATCTTCACTTCACTGCATTTGTACATCACCATCAAAACTCCATGCAGATCTCAGTCAAGATAAAAAGTGCATGCTGTATGTGCTGTATTTTCTCTTACTATATTATGTATCTAAGCAGTGCCGTTTCATAGTGGAGGCATAACCCCCAAGTCCAACTACGGCCTTTCTTATTCCTTTGTCGTTGATTTCCTAGCTTCTTTTTTTCTAGATGCTCAAATTAAAATCATAAACTATCATCTCATGATATGGTTCATATTGAAGTTTGTGTTTCTGCTGAAATTCTCTTGCATTTATATGCTTTAAAATTTTTATATTTGAATATATTTATTAGATTTTTTCCATTTTAGATTTACATATTTATATGTTGTTTCAGTTCTGGTATATTTTAGCATAAGATACTAAAATTCTGTCTTTACAGTACTTTCTTTAATATTCGTATCATGTGAAAACTCAAGAACAACTAATGTCACATTTCTGGAACAGGATGTTGCTGTACGCATGGGATTTCCAGATGGTTCTGTAAGGCATTATGACATGGATCTTGATGTGAACAATTTTCTGTATATGGCTGATATTGTTCTTTATTGGTCATTCATTGAGGAACAAAACTTTCCTCCACTATTGTTGCAAGCCATGTCCTTTGAAATTCCCATTGTTGCTCCTAATATGAGTGTAATACAGAAATATGTGAGCTTAATGCTGAACCTAATGCTTTTATTCTTTGGCTATAAATCTATGTGTTCTTTGACTAAAACATGTCTTTTATTTTGCAGGTTGTCAATAATGTCCATGGCATTCTTTTTCACCCCAGTACATCGGACACGTTGGTTAGAGCATTATCTCTTCTAATGGGAGATAAAGAGTTGTCAAATATAGCTCATTCTGTTGCTTCACATGGGAAGTCACTCTCTATGAATATGCTTGCTTCAGAATGTATCTCTGGTTATGCTGAGCTTTTTGAAAGCATTCTCCATTTTCCTTCGGACACACTGCTTCCAAATTCTATTTCCCAAATTCAGCAGAAAACTTGGTTGTGGGACCTGCTTGACAAAGAAATTAAACAAACATATACTTTTACAGAAAATGAGAATTTTTTAAGAAATGAGTATTCTAGACAAAGATCAAGCATTGTATATTTGCTGGAGGAACAATTTTCTAAAAGGCTTATGGAGAATGATTCACAACTTGTAAATGAGACTTATGCAGAAGACTTCCCAACTCTATCAGATTGGGATGACATTAGTGAAATGGAAGCTTCTGAGGACTATGTGAGTCGAGAAATGCAGGAGGTACTGTTCCATGCTTGAAATTGCCAATTTTCTCTGAATCATTGGTTGAAAAGATCAAGTTGAAATCTGCATGCTAGTTTTTCTTTATGGTTTTATGATTTTGTAGCTTGATGAAAGAATGGAGAGAACTTCAGGATCATGGGAAGATGTTTACCGGAATTCACGGAAAGCTGAAAAGCAGAAAGCCGAAGCATATGAGCGTGACGAAGGGGAATTAGAAAGAACTGGACAGCCACTATGCATATATGAAGTGTATACTGGAGAAGGAGCATGGCCTTTTTTGCACCATGGTTCTATATATCGTGGGATAACACTTGTACGTTCAGCCTGCTTGATGCTACAATGCATGAGAGTTTGTTACATTTTTAATTTATTTTGTCCTCTATATATAACATAAATTCATGCATCTGCCATATAATTAGACTTCCAATCATATTATATTTCTTAAACTTGTTTACTTGAATTTTCCTCTGTTTTTTGTTGAAATATAGGGCTTAAATATTTTATTTATTTATTTATCCTTCTAGTCTCTTGGAATGTTTCAGATCATCAAATAGGACTATCTGATCAGATTAGATAAAAAAAATTATGAGGGTTTGATTAGTTTAATTCTAGGAAAGTATCTGGTCTCAAACTTCTCTTATTTGCTTAAAAGAAACTTCTCATTAAAGCTTTCATGAATTTTTTTCTGTTGGAAGTTAGACAAAATCGCATATATAAATTGCAAAATGTCAGATGGTGAAAGCTCGAGTATTGTCATTACTAAATCAGTTAGAAATTGACTAAACTGAACCTGTCGTATTTCATGAACTGTTTTGCACTTAGAGGTGTATTTTGGTCATCATGTTATTCAACAGTGATTCTTGACAATGATTAAAATCTCAGTTCCATATTGACATCCAACATTGGCTGGACTGGTACAATACTAATACTACACCAAACCATGTGGATATCAATAGAACCTGCAGGTATTGGTTCCAGAACCAAAAGATCCCCGTGAAACATTGATTTTCAGATTTGATTTGCCTTGATAGTAATAAAAATATGTTTCTAAAACGTATTATAAACCAAGGATTTTAATTTCGAATAATACCGCCTGTACCGGGCGGTACATACTGGTCTGTCAGTAGACCGGTACATGGACCGTTTGCTACCGGGAGGTAGCATCGATCGGTGACGGAGAAGAAAGAAAGGGAGAAGAAAGAAGAGGGAGAAGAAAGAAGAAAACCTGGAGATCCGGTGCGGCGACGAAGCCTTGGCAACGTCACGAGGAGAAGCGATTTCTTCTCCCCAGCAGAAGAAACCGATCGAGGTGATGCCTTTCTTTTTTTTTTTTTCGTGCAGGGAAACCGGTGCGACGTCGCCTTAGCCTTTTCGTTTTTTTTGCGCGGGGAAACCGAGGCGACCTCACCAATCGACGTTGGCGATTGGTGATTTAAAGGGACAAAGTTTTTATGACCTAATCAATCACATATGTAATATTAAAGAGGGAGGTTTCTGTAGGAGAGAACTTAAAAGAGTTTTGGGAGGTCCAATGCAAGCAGCTTGTTTAAGGGGTTAGGTAACATTGATTTCTACACAAATTCGAGCAAACCGGCTACATCCCAATTGAAGATATCGTGGGTCAATTTTAAGAAAGTGATCAAGCAATCAAGCAAAGAAGTGATATGAAATAGGGATTCTGCATTTTAGTATTCCATCGGCAAACCCAATAAATGAATCCACAGAAGGGCAATATCAATCCTTTTGGACAAAGGTTAAAAGTTAGGATACTAGGGAATGAGTTAAAAAACATCACCATGAAGATGCCAAGGTCCCTCAGTTAAGATCTGAAGGGCATCAACCTTAGAGTAGAATCGAAACAAGAAGAAACCGGCTTCCAAGTCCATAATGGGGTGGGGTTTGGAGTAAAAAGAGGCCACAGTTTAGGAAGATGAAATTTAAGAACAGTAAAGGGCAGAGGACGATATAGAAACTTATCGATGAGGCAAAAAGCCCACATATGCCATCAGGTGAGGTATTTGTCTTCCTTAAATTGAACGAAGTCAGTAGAGGATGATTTGATACACTCCTGCAGTAATTTGTGAAGAAGGTTGCCAAAGTTTGCTACTCTGATGGGGGGGGACAATCAAGAGAGTGGAGGCCTATGAGGGCTTTGTGATGGTAGAGGGAGTGCTCCTACCATAGGAGGAAGAGGGTGGGGAAGGGTTTTTCCCTGGGTCAGGAGGCTTGGGAGGCACTGTTGTAGGAGTTAATGAACGGCCGAGGGGGGAGGGAAGAACATAAGGAGGCAACCATCGAGGATTAATTCCTGTGAGTAGTCTGTGGGTCTCATCCAATTGGCCTACTATTTGATCTTACTAGGTCACAACCCATGATCCATGTATGAAAAAAAAAAAGACGGAGGAAAGAGGAAGAGAAAATAGGAGTTGAAAGAGAAGAAGAAAAGACTGAAAAAAAGAAGTAATGGGGAAAAGAACAAGAAGAAAAAGACAAAAGAAAAAGAGATTAGAAGAGAATAAATTAAAATGAAGAGAAATTTATTTTTCACAAGTTTAGTTATAGTAAAAAATGTTTTTAATTTTAAAATTTTATAATATAATATACAAAGTTATATATACATATATATATCTATGTATACATATATATATATATATATATATATATATATATATATATATATATATATATATATATATATATAGTATATATATATATA